ATTCTCTCTCTCTCTCTCTCTCTCTCTCTCTCTCTCTCTCTCTTCATCTCTCCTACTCTCCTGTCCTTTCCTTCCCCCCCCCAACCCAACCCACCACTCCTCTCCTTTCTCTCCAATACATGCTTTTATCCACTTAAGTTATTTTCCCCCCCCTCCCCTTTTTTTCTGCCAACAGTATCGTTCCTTTCCCTGACTACATGAAGGGCGGCCCTGCTGGCTACTACCTCAGTGGCACGCCCGACGGCTCGCGGGACGGAGGGTACTACATCAACATTCACAATCCCAAGGATTGGTAGGTCGTCTTTTGTGGACTTCTTTCTTTTACTTCTGTCGTTTTCCTGTCAACGAATTGTCAGAATTGACAGTTTTTCCGGGGGGTTTTCTAGTTTGTTTTTTTTGGGTGGTTTTTTGTTTTGTTTTGTTTGTTTTTTTCCCCATTATTAGTGTTATTTTCACCAGAAGAAATGTTATTATTCTCAGCATTTTTATAGTATAAGTCTCTCTCTGATGGTAAAATAAGCATTTTTTGTGGGAGGGAATCCCAACGTTTAGGATAGGAGCACAAGGAAAAAAAGCAGTTTCACCCACCTGATTAGACTTTAAATGGGATGCACTCTTGAGATTCTAATCCGAAAAACTCAAATGTTGTGTCCTTTTAACTTTTTTTGCTTTTATATACTAACGCCATATTTGCTCTGAAAGAGTTAATGTTGTTTATGGTTGGCGGATGCTCTAGTGTGGTTTGCTCCTATTTTCCTGTCACACGTCTTTCGTCATTATCTCTCCTCCTTTTCTTTGTGTGCTTCTCTCTAGTAACATGTACAATCTTGCGGCATTTATTATATGATATATTTGTGTTGCAAAGTGCTGTAAAACTCTTACTGTTTGCCCCTTCTTTCCTATCAAGCATCTATCGTCCTGATCTCTCCTCCTACTTTTGTTTTATTTGTTACTCTCTTGTAATGTCTCAAATCTTCTGCACTTATTTAACAATATTTTGTTGCAAGTGCTATAAAACTTTTACTAAACTAAACTCTTACTCTTACTAAAATTTATTTTAAAAATGACATCCCCCCCCCCCCCCCGCCATATTTATTTTAAAAAATGTTAATAAAGTGTTTTTAATAAATTGTAATAAAACTCCTTTTCCAGTCACCAATTCCACCTACCTGCTCTGAGTTTGCACGAAGGAGAACCGGGTCATCACTTACAGGTAGGCGCATGATCTTGACCTTTTTTAAAATCAAATGTGGAATTTAGGCAAATATTTTTGTTCCACGTTTGTGTAAAATTGTATTTCCAGGCTACGAGTTCGTAAGTAGCTGCCAGCTGGTTGGACACACACACTTGCCAAGTAGTCTGATAAAATCGGAGTTCTTCATTTATTTTTTTCTTTCTCGACCATTGAACTATTTAAGAACATGGACTGGATTTGCATTTCTCTCTCTCTCTCTCTCTCTCTCTCTCTCTCTCTCTCTCTCTCTCTCTCTCTCTCTGCCCCGGCCAGGCGATGTATCTCTCCACTTCCTGTCTGAGATCCGACTCTGGCTCCAGCGAGTTATCTATCATGTACTTCACAGCTTTCTCCTTGCTCCATCTACGGGAAGAAAAAAAGCAGTAAAAAGTTGGTTACTTGGTTGAAGAACAGGTATCATCGTAAGCGGTACAATGCTGCACCTCCCTCCTCTCCAGTATCCAAGAAAGAGATGGCATGCTGATCATGCCAGTTATCAGCTGGTTGGATATTCTTCAAAAACAATAAAAAGTGTATATCAACACCTATCATTCAACACAATTATTAGCTTGGAAACTTGACAAAACAACCTGAGTTCAAAAACGACCAGTCTGGGATTTGAACCGGGTCCTTCCGCTCCTCATCCCCAACATGAGATCAACTAAACTAAACGAGCGGCTGAAATATGTCATTAAATTTTAATAGGTCTTTTTTTTTCAGTAAACAAAAGAACAGAAAAACTTTTGCTACCACTCAATTAAAATCTAGAAAGGAAAACTATACCAAAAAAAATGTTTAACTTGACACAAAAATTGTTTATCCTAAGTGGAACAAAATATGCGATCATATGACCTTATGCAGTTGCAAGCTACATAAAACTTTTACTAAACTAAACTAAATCATAAATATGCAATCTGAGGAAATAAAGCCAAAATTGTCCACGACAACTCACCCAAAGGCATGCAACCCTGTATCTACCACAAGTCTCGCTGCTCGGAAGATTTCAAAACTGTATCTGCCGAGCCTGAGGGAAAAAGACGAGATATTTACCATTTTCTCATTTAGCTCAATCTTTCCGAAACTCTCTCTCCCACAACATTTTTTGAGGGATACAAAGTCCGAAGCAAAATCTAAAATTCATTTCGAAGCAAACTTAATTAAATGCCAT